TATGTGGAAGGATTTGGCAATAGGGAGGGAGGGAGGGGGGGGGGAAGGGGAGTGTGGGAGGAGGGGAGGGAGAGGGAACTGGGATTGACATGTAAAACAAGCTATTTAAAATTAAAATAAAAAATGATAAAAAAAACATAGCATGGTGCAACCCTAACAAGGGAAAGACTTGCATGACCAAAACTAAGACACTGAAAAACAACTTGAAGAAGATGTCATGAGATGGAAAGGTCTCCCATGCTCATGGATTGGTAGGATTGATAAAATGAAAATGATCATCCTAGTGAAATCAATGTGCAGATTCAATGTAACCCTATCAAACTTACAGCACAGTTAGCGACAGCTTTCAGCTTCTTATGGACACAAATACTCACATGGAAAACAAGCAACAGGATAGCTAAAGCAACCCTGTATCATAATGGAACTGCTGAGGGCTAAAGCAACCCTGTATCATAATGGAACTGCTGAGGTACCAACATCTCTGACATCAAATCACATTACAGGGCAACGGTAACAAAATCAGCATGGTAGTGGCACCAAATTAGACTTGTATATCTGTGGAATCAAGATGAACACCTATATCTACATCCTTGAATACCAGATATTTTACGAAGAAGCCAGAAATACACATTAGGAAAAAAGACAGCAACTTCAGCAGATGGTGCTGGTTAAACTGGACAGCTAGCTTCACATCCATGCATATGATACTAAACAAAACTCAACTCTAAATGGATCAAAGACTTCAACTTAAAACCAGATATACTGAACCTGACAGAAGAGAGAGTAGGGAACATCCTTTAAGGAACTGGCACAGGAGATGACAAATGTGTATTGTACAGTATGCCAATAACACAGACACTCAGATTAATTATTCATAAATGAAAAGATTGCGCATTGCAAAGGGCACCATCATTCTAACAAAGTAGAAGCCTACAGAATGGGAAAAGTTTTTTACCAACAACACATCCAATAGAGGGCTAATATCTAATATATATGAAGAACTCAAAAACTAGATGTCAAGAAAACATATAATCCAGTTAAAACAAACATCTTGAGGTATTTAAAGACTTGTGGAAAAATAAGCATCCAAAGAAGCAGGGAAGACTACCCTCAAAAAATTACCAAGGAAAGGAATAATCTGACTTAGTGAAATCTCTGAAGTCTACAAAAAGATGATGGGATTCCACAAGGATGATTCAACCCCTCCATGTTAACATGGATACAGGAAAGTGCTCTGCATGATACCAAAGGAGAAGGTAAACATCGCCCCAGCTACAAACCCTTTGTGTCCTGGCTGCAAGACGCACCGATGCAATGCAGCACAGAACTTGTGGGAGTGACTAGCCAACATCTGATTTGAGTTGAGTTCCATGAGAAGAAACCCATATTCAGTGTTTCTTGGGTGACCGAGAACCTTGAGAACCAGAGACATAGAGTGAAGAAACAGCACTACTGTTTTAAGACAAACAAAAGCAAAGGAATGTCACCTAATGATATTCTGCTGTTCTCATACATCAGTGCACACACACACACACACACACACACACACACACACGCAGATATGCAATGAGTGAGTGACCTTGGAACACTCAGCCCTAAATGGGATGTATCCATCAAATTCCATACTTTGGGGCTCAGAGAACCCCATGAAAGAGGAGACAGAAAGGAAGTCCCAGAGGGAATGGAGGGCACCAAGGGAACAAGGTCCTCTAAGTCAACTGTATTGATGGACATATGAAAACTGTGGCACTGGTGGAGTATGCACATGTCTTGTATAGGTCTTCACAGCTAGAGTCCTAGAGCTGAAAGTAGAAAGCAGAACCCTAACCCAGAAACTATCTCCAGCTTATAATAATTTCTAACCATTTATAAATGAAAATTTAGTTTCCTCCAAGAGAGTCTCACTGGAGAACCAATCTACCCTTAAGGGCATGCTGCATGCCTACCTGTAGAAGGCCAACAGAAAACGCACTCAATGCCATCTTTCTTTTTTTTCTCATATAGTTATGCCAAAGCTTTTCCTTTTTTGTAAGTTCTATGCTATTATTTTTTTCTTCTCTTGTAACCTACAGGTCCTTTGTATATATATTGTGGCTTCCAGTTTAGTCTTTTATGGATTTTCTAAGTGTGTGTATTACTGGATCTCTGCATCTATAACTGTTTCTGTGCCTTTTAGTGAGCTATTTCCCTTCTGTTTTGTGTGTTTTGTCCTATTATGATGTGTTAGGTTTTTAAAAAAACTTATTGTCCCTAGAAACCTGAGAGGCAGAAAAGGGAGACCTGGATGGTAGGGGTGAAGAATTATAAAACTGGAGCAGAGGGAGGGAAGCCATAATCAGGATATGTTATGTGAGAAACAAAAATCTATTTCAATAACAGAAAAAAGGAAAGAAAAGACCCTGGCATACACCTTCTGTGCAGTGTTCACTCAGAATTGCTCATCGGCAAAGGTAAGGGGTGCAATAAAAACTTCAAAATTGTGATTCAGAGCAATGGATAGGAAACGCCCACGAAACATAAGCTTCATGGCTGCCATATGTTTCTTCCTTCTCTGGGAGAATACAGAATTCTCTCTTGGCGATCATTTAAGAATACTCTGAGCACAATATCCATTCAACAAAAGAGAAAGGTTAAAAATGTAGTAGAGCTGAATCACTTTAGACAATGAATTAGTTCAAATTTTGGAAAAGTGAAAATGTGCCAAGATAATCATCTAAAAAATGTAACATTAGGGTTGATAGTTTTAATCATCAACTTGACACAATCTAGAGTTACTTGGGAATGATTCTCAGCAAGGGACTGTCTAGGCCAGGCTAGCCTGTGGACACCTCTATGGAGACTATTGACCACCTTAATGGAGGTGGGAAATCCCACCCACTGTTGATGGTACCATAACCACGGCATGAGATCATCACCCATACGTGCACGTGAGTTCACTACTCCATGCTTGAATGTGAATATGAGGTGTAGCTGTTTCAAGTTCCTTCTGACTCATCTCCTCTGAAATGATGGAATGTAACTTGGAATTGTGAGCCAAATAAACTATTTCTTCTTTAAGCTATCTTTCTTAGGATACTTCCTCACAGAAGAGGAAATGAGACTGGGCATTTGGTGTACATAAAACCATGTCTAATTTGATCATGAGGGAAAGCAAATTTCAGAAGAAAAAAAATGTTGACATTAAGTCAGACCACAAACAAAACTAATGTCATTTAAGGTATAGGGGAATCATTTGCATAAGTGGAATAATGTATGATTATAACTCTAGCTATTACCATGTAGTGACAAGTTAATGCTGTCAAGGCTATAACTCTAAATATCAGCACGTAGTTACAATGCAATTTTTCAAAGAAGGAGAGTTAATGAGATAAGAAAGTGGAAAATAGCTCAAGACCATGTCATTCAGGAAGGGTACGCAAAATGCTTATTCTGTTTGCATTGATCATACTTTCAAGTTTTAAAAGAAGAGAGAAAGAAAGCATGAGAGAGAAAGGAAAGAAGAATCAATGCCTATTAAGCAATGAATTGGTAATAAAAGATAAACTGGGGAGTGTTGAAACAATAAAGGCAAGAAAAAATGACTTATAGGATGTTAAAATAACTAAAAAGCTAGTGTGGTGGCTAAGATGCTACACATGCCCAGGAAAGGTATAACAAGACCACTAATTATCCTTCATTGTCCAGTGATCTTAGGGGTTAGATTTCCACTCAACAGTGCAAGCGACCCATGCAAATCTGAAGACTAGGAATGGAATTGATATCTTAAATGCCCAACTATTATTCAAGCAAGAGGCAATTGTATGATCAGTACTTAAGAGGCCATGCTGAGTAGAGGATTGATGGGAGATGTCATCTGTAAAAATGCCTCTCTTATTGGCTAGTGACTAAAACACTGTTGGCCAATAGGGAAGCAAGACAGGCAGGATAAGGAGATGAGGAGGATTCTGTGAAATGTGGTAGTGAGTTGCCAGAGGAGAGGACGCAAGAGTTTGGCATTCTCCATAAGGTAAGACTTTGTAAAAAAAGATATATTAGTAGTTACGGTTTAGTACTTATGACAGAACTAGTCAACAAGAAGCCCTAGACATTGGCCAACAGCATTGTAACTAATAGAGTCTCTGATGTGGTGAAAGAACCCAGGCAGAAATCTGACAACAGAGGATGTTGATTTAGATAGGTCTTTCTATAACATCACACCCTCTTCTGATGTCTGTGGGTTCCAGGCATGCAAGTGGTGCAGACATATATGTACGCAAACCACCCACACACATAAAAAAATAAAGTGAAGATGAGTTTTAAATGATCAAAATTGCAACTTTCTGAGCCTGGACACAATGGTGTATAAGTGCGGTGCCAGGCAGTGAGGTGACATGGAAGAATGACCTGAGCCGAGGACTTGAAACCTGTGTGGCCTGCACAGTACAGTGAGTTTGCACAATTCTTCAGGTAAGGAGACAATAGGGAAAATAGTACTTATCTCAGCAAAGGAGGCTTTACTTTTGGAAAACTTTCTGTAAATGAAGAAGTAAAACAAGCTTTTATTAAAGGGGTGTGGTGCAGAAAAATAAGCAGACTGCAAGTGGAAAGAAACAGAGTCTAATTTTAGCCATGAAACTCTCAGCTCTGGGTAGAGTTAACCAACTGTTTTTACCAAAGAAAATGTATCAGTTTAAAGAATAGGTGAGGGATGGATTTTTAGCTGTGTCTGGGGATGTATATGACAAGTGTGTACAGTGCCTGCAGAGACCAAAAGAGGGCAACAGATCCCCCTCGGGCTGTAAGTTAGGGCAGCTGGGAGCTGTGATGTCAGTGTTGAGAATCTAGTTCAGTTCCTCTGGAAGAAAACCAAGCACTCTTACCATGGAGACATCTTCAGACCCCAATAGATGTGCATTTTGTCAAATATCTCAACATGCATTTTCAAGTCTAGTGTTTATAATTCAAGATCAGTGTGCCACATTTCTTATTACTTTATTTTGTTCACATTAAAACATACCGACCTTTCTGAATTTGATGGCTTGGTGTTTGTGGTTTTCTGCCAGTATCTTTTGTTTGTAATTCGTATGAAAGACAGGAAATGTGTTTTCTGTAGTCAGTAGACTGTTTAAAGTCAACAGGAGTACATCTCATCTGTGAAAACAAATAAAGGTGTTGATGAATCACTTCTTGTTCCTGATACAACACTTTGACAAAGGGTTTGCCTCCCAATTCCAGATTCCAGGTCCACCATCTGGTAGAAGTCAAGGCAACAGAAACTTGAAGCAGCTAGTCCTGTTATATTCACAGTCAAGGGCAAGCAGTGTGAAATTAATGCATAAATGCTAAGCTGAGTTAATATTCTCCACTAGTATTATAGTTTCTTAAGGAATGGCACCAGTTATGGTGGGCATGCCTTCTTGCTTTAACCTAACCAAGATACCAGCCCCTCAGACACACCCACAGGCCAAGCTGATTGAAAAAAATGTCCATTGGAATTTTTTTCCAGCTGATTCTAGGTTGTGTCAAGTTGATAATAAAAATTAACCACAACAGATGATATCAAATGTTTCAGAATTCTCAAAGATCTTTCTCATGTGTGACAAAGCACTGTGATTTTGATTTTTACAAATCTGTAAGACAAGTACCATTAAGAAAAACTTTAAAAGTACCACTGTTTATCCCTTTGCTAAGCAGCCTCACAGGAACAGACAGCAATACCCTGGGGGTAATTCTGTAAAGGCATTGGAAGGAAAAGGCAGTAGCAATACATAATAGACACAAGGTATTTTGTCTTAAAGCCTGAGGGTGATTCAATGAAAGAAAGGAAGGATGCAAAATTACCCTACAGAACACTTAATGTACCGTAGATAGGAAAACGGTAATGTAAGAATGAAGCTTGGAATGGGAAAAGCCTTTTAGTAAAATTAGACTACATATGTATGGGTTAAAAAAATAGAGAGACAATCAGAAATAAGATTCTTGGAGACAGGAGCTTTGTCAAATGTAAACTGTGTCATGAACACATGGGCGAGGTGTCAACAACACTGTTCTTTCTTCTCGTCTTCACAGATGATGCAAGACACTTAGAGATTTCTGCAGGTCATCCAGAACCCATCGGGGAAAGCCCTCCTCATCACCCTCGCAGTATCTGCACGGCTTCCATCCTGGAACATGGTATCCATGCTTGTCTCAGAAAGATGGGGGTGGAACAATGATGCAAGGGCACAGGCTGGGTTTCTAAATGAATGTCCCCATAGGAACCAAGCACTCCTAACCATGGAGACATCTTCAGACCCCAATAGATGTACATTTTGTCAAATGTCTCAACATGCATTTTCAAGTCCAGTGTTTATAGTTCAAAATCAGTATGCCAAATTTCTTATTGCTTTATTTTGTTCACATTAAAACATACTGACCTTGCCAGGCGGTGGTGGTGCACGCCTTTAATCCCAGCACTTGGGAGGCAGAGGCAGGTGGATCGCTGTGAGTTCGAGGCTGGGCTGGACCGACAGCCTCAAAAACAATTCAGAGAAACCCTGTCTCGTAAAAACAAAAAAACAAACAAACAAACAAAAGACATACAACCTTTCTGAATTTGATGGCTTGGTGTTTGTGGTTTTCTGCCAGTATCTTTTGTTTTTAATTCGTATGAAAGGCAGGAAATGTTACTTCTTCGGTGGCTACATGGCATCTCCCTGGCTACTCTCTGCATTCCTCTTCCCAGAATTCTCCTAGTTTGGCAGTTCTGCCTATACTTCCTGTCTGGCTACACCCTGCCTGCTCATTTGCCAAAAGAGCTTTATTCATCAACCGATAAGAGAAACATATCTACAGCACACAAAAGGACATCCCCCATCACTCTTGTCATCATTTAATATCCTGAATGGATATCAGCTGTGCTCATTTACTGTGTAAACCCTCAGAAATACATTTGCTCAAAAGAATAAAGCCATATCTTAATCATATTTTTATCTCAGATTAATCAGGACTCATTCCCTGCTTAGACACATGGTACTACCTCCAGCTAAAAAGAGGTCAGTTAAATTTCTAATAAAGTTTACATTTTTCACTTTACCCTGATATTGTCCCATACAATATTTAGTTTTCTGTCACAAGTTCCCTACTGTGCGATACAGGCAATTGTAGTTAAATCTGGTCTCTCAGTTGGGCGTGGTTACATGCGTGCAACCTCTGCATTCTGCAGGTAGAAGTAGGAGGATCAGAGTTTCAAGGCCATCCTTGGATAAATAGTGAGTTTGACTCAATATTTTTAAATTTTCATGCGAGATTCTCTGATTTATTGATTGAAAGTCACTTTTCTCCAGCAGTAAGTGACAGTACAATGACATCTTGCTGTTCAGGGCAGGGGCTTTGTTCTTTTCCCTCTGTGTTTATTGCTTTAGCGAAAAGTCTTTCACTTATTAATCTGAGACAACTTATTTTCATGATATTCACAACAAAATCACTATTTTTTCTAGAAATACAAATAAGTAGGCATTTTAAGCTCATGGACATCCTGTTTCCTAAGATTGACAAGCACACATTTTATGACTCATAGCATCCAAGCATAGTAGCAGAATATGGCATGATTTAAAAAGGATGTTTCTATTGTCACTTAAATAAAATCCTAATAAAAAATGTGACAAAAACTGTACAGACCATGACTTTTCAATTAAAGCCCTGAGGGTCAACTGTAAAAACAAATGCTTCTTCTATAAACCATCTTCCTGCTTTTGCTCTGCATTGATACTCTCTCTGTCACTCACATTACTATATATGCAATTGATTGCATGCTACAAACCATGTTAAATTCAGGCCACTGTTACCTGGGGAAGGCACAGTCCTCAGAGACTACCTACTACTATTTGTTTATGAATAGAAATGTTGTCAGTCTTTCTCTTTGCAGTTTTTATTTTTATTTTTGCTTTTCACTCTTTACTCTTCAGTCTTGTATTCCACTCTGTCTTCTTAATATTCCTGTCTATACCCTGAGATCAGTGTTTCTTAGCTTTGGTCAGTGAAACTCCGTGTTTTTCAGGGGAGTATGACATCTCAGATATTCATACCTAGTCAAAGTGGGTAAAATAAATGATGGTTGAGTTCTGAACTATAAATTGGACACCTATATTACACTACCACAAACTTGGGAAGAGTGTTGCAAAACTAGGCGTTTTGGAAATGACAAAGCCATTGAACTCATGAACTCACTGTAAATACGTGTACAAGAATGGACATATCAACGTTTCCTTATGCATGAAGATGAGTCTGGTGAGACTCCAGGCCTCTTTGAGAGACTCTACTCAGGTAATGTGGACTGGTATTTTATCCACTGACAATTTGCCTATGTTCCATTGAATAGACTGCACTCAAGCTCATTCAAGAAACCATCATTAAACTCAGTGAGCCTAAAAATACAATAAAAAACAGATATTAAAGTAGGAGAGGATTGGTCAGGCATTGGTGACATGCGCCTTTAATCCCAGCACTCAGGAGGCAGAGGAAGGAGGATCTCTGTGAGTTTGAGGCCATCCTGGTCTATGAGGTGAGTTCCAGGACAGCCTCCAAAACAATACAGAGAAACCCTGTCTCGAAAAACCAAAAACAAAAAGAAGTAGGAGAGGATTATTCAGAAGATGTGGAGTTTCATCAGGAGACAAGAGGACTGAGAGAGGGCAACAGGGAGTGTAAAGGACCCTGATTCAATATAGATACATATAATGTTGTCAAAGAATAACAGAAAGAGATGAAGAAAGAGATCATGTTAAATTCCATTTGAAACATGAAAGGACCCACTTTTTCTTCTAGAGATCATATTTTAACCTATCCATTAGACAATGAGTTTTCCTAGCAATCTTGTTTTTATTAGTAGTCATTCGTTCCATTACTTGAAAGAATAAGAAAACAAAAAAATATACCTGTCAGATTTTACATGTAAAGTCTTTACCATAAATGATATAAGATTATCAAATTTATATAATAAAGGAGGAAGTCTAGTTAAGTAGAGACTTTCAATTATATATGCAATATATATAATATACATATAATAAATATATACTTAGGTGGGTGGTAGTGGAGCACTACTTTAATCTCAGCACCTAGGAACAGAGGCAGGTGGATCTCTGAGTTCGAGGTCAGTCTGGATCTATAGTCCAAGTTCCAGGACAGACTCTAAAGCTATGCAGAAAAACCCTGTCTCTAAATAAATGAATGAGTAAATACTGAATTCTCCAATTTATCCTTCTTCATATATTCAATTGTTGCCTCTCATCATTTAAAATAATTTTTACTTTCCTGACTTACAAAGACAAAAATGCATGATTAAATCTCATGTGTTCAACTGAGATAAACCTGCAGGAACATCACATAGTCAAATATATAAATAAGTTCAAATTTTCAAAAGTTAACAACTTTAGGGAAAGTAGCTTTTCTGTTGTATATAAGAAGAGAGTGGATATAAGCCACAAATATACTGTTTGATCCTTGAGTTCACAGAGAAGAAAAGCTATCAAAATACGAGATGTATATAATACACAACTTGTTTTCACCAAAATATGTATAATCTATATTATCCACACTATTGTATACCAGATACTCATTCGTGATGACTTTAGAAAATATGTAGGACTATTTGACCAAGGACAATTATTAACTGATGATAAATTAAGTAAATTAGATAAAAATTCATTTCAACAGAGTTAGAATTAACGTAGGTTTTAGATATGAAGAGTATGATAAATTTTCATTGAGCAATATTTGATAACATCTCTGGTTACTTATGAAATGATAATATAATAAGGTAGACATATGAGAAGCTGAGGGCCCAGGTGGAGAAGAATAAATATTTGTGAAATTATATCTTCCTCAAGAGCCTGTTCTAATGTCATAAGTTAATCTGCTCTCAGCCCAATATTTATCAATACTTATATATAAGCTTTAAATGAAGACACAAAAACTGTTTATCACACTTTCCAGTGAAAAGGCAAAGGAACAAACTCACTTAACAGCAACCAGAAATTCACAATACTGCCAACAGACTGGAGCCATTGGTCTACCTGTCTAGAGGACATTAAAGTGGAGGAGATATTGCAGTTGAACAAATTAAATTAAATTAAATAACTCATTAAATTAAATTACATTGAATCACTTGAACA